TTGAAAATATGAAAAGTTTTTTATCTATATTTTTGTGTTCCTGAAATATACTGTTTCTTCAATGGAATTAATTAGCTAAGTATAGTGTTTATGTATACCTTAAGTATATACAAGACTAAAAGAAATTTAGTTATATCATTTAATTCTACCAATGGGTAACATTTTTCATTTATACATTAGTTTGTTATTTAGTTAATACTACCCTATTTAATTGCTTTCAAAACTACTTATAATTTTTTAATTATCTTTAAGTTTCCTCTTAAATATTTGCATTTTTTTTCTTATTAGAGTTTTCAGAGTTCACTTGAGGGACTTGAGAACCTCAGCAACTTGTGGTACACTTCTATTTCTATCTGTAATTATATATATGTCTGGATCTATCTATACAACATCTATAAGTGTCCATATATTCATATTAATGTTTCTATTCATTTATCTACCTCACTTATTTGAATTAGAATAACTTCATCTTATGAAACTACCTATATCTATAGGGATTACTTACTGCATAATAAAATAAAGCATATATATTCACATAACATGTGTGTATACTATTTTTTATCATAAACTGTACCTCAATCTAAACAATAATTCATAAAATACTAGTCAGAAGTATGTGCTTTCTATCCTTGTCTTAATCTATCATTGTCCGGTTATTTTCATCTTCTGTAATCTTTTTCTGGGTCCTATACTTAAAACAAAAAATATGGTATATTATGCAAATTAAACAACTCCTTGAAATTTGGCAAAAATTCTCAACCTCTTGCATAGGCTCAAATTTTAGATTTTAATGTACATAGTACTAAAAGCTGGAGTTATGTAGGTCTTATTGTATATTCTCATTTGTTACAATATGGAGTCTTAAAATATAGACCTTAACAAAGATCCATTTCCTCTGATGTGTTAGCACTGAAATTTGCTTGCTATAATTTCTTCTTAGTAGGTTAGAATTTTTTCTTTTCTTTTCTTTTCTTTTCTTTTCTTTTCTTTTCTTTTCTTTTCTTTTCTTTTCTTTTCTTTTCTTTCCTTTTCTTTTCTTTTCTTTTCTTGACTTTTATCTAATGACAAAACCTTCCAGGCCTAGATCTACCTCAAATTCTTTAACCTCTACATTTCAATATTATATGTATGTCAGACTGTTATATGTTCCATTGAGAGTTAGCCACTGGGATGGAGGGAGGGCTGCTATGTTTATTTGTGGTGAGTCATCCTCTGATTGTGCTATCTTTAAATGTTTACATATCTGTCCATCTCATCACCATTAGTTTCTCAAGGGTAAGGGTCATGTCCTGTTAATCTCTGTGTCCACAGAACTAAATATGATGATACAGAGTATATGCCAAATTGATTGAGAGAACTGATGTAAAGGAAAAGGCCAATATTCATGAGGAAATAATAAACTAAGTTCCCAAGCCTACCATCAAATTCTATAACTTAGAGCAAGTCAGTTGTAGGCTCTCAGCTCCATTCCTTCAACTAGAAAGGAGGTCAAAATACTAGATACTACCTATATCATTTTCTTTTTAAAATATCCACATTGTATTTCACAGAACTAGAACAAATATTCCAAAAATTTATATGGAACCACAAAAGACCCAGAATAGCCACATCAATCTTGAGAAAGAAGAAAAAGTTGGACGGATCACTCTACCTATCAAACTTCACTATAAGGCCATAGTAATCAAAACAGTATGGTACTGGCATAACAACCAATGGAACATAATAGAGCCAAGAAATAATCCCACAGCTCTATGGTTAACTAATATTTGACAAAGATAGTCCATTCAATAAATGATGTAGAAAATTTTGACAGCTATATATAAGAAAATAATACTAGACCACCTTCTATTTATATCACACACAAGAATCAACTGAAAATGGATTAAATGCTTAAACATTAGACTTGAAACCATAAAAATCCCAGAAGAAAACATTGGCAGTAAAATCTTGGATGTTTCTTGTAGCAATATTTTTTTTCTGAAATATCTCCATGACAGGGAAATAAAATAAGAAATAAACACATGGGACTACATGAAAAGTTTTCACATAGCAAATGGAACCATCAACAAAATAAAAAGACAGCCCACTCTATGGGAGAACATGTTTGGCAATAAAACATCTGACAAGGGGTTAATATCTAAAATTTATTTTAAAACATAAAACTCAACATTAAAACCCCAATGATCAAATTTTAAAATGGGCAAAGGATCTTAGTAGACATTTCTCTAAAGAGAATATACAGATGTCCAATATACTGTGAAAATCTGCTCAGTGTCAGTAGTCATCAGAGAAAGCAGGCGAGGATGTGGTAAAAAGAGAACCCTCATGCATTGTTGGTGGAAATGCACACTGGTGAAGCCACTGTGGACAGCAGTATAGAGTTACCTCAACATATTAAAAATAGAGCAGTCTTATGATCCAGTAATTTCACTTCAGGAAATATATCCAAATAATTTCTAAACACTATTTGGAAAGAATATATGCACCCCATGTCCGTTTCAATATTATTTACACTAGCCAAGTTTTGGAACCAGCCCAAGTGCCCATCAGTAGATGAGTGGATAAAAATCAGTGGTATATTTACACAATGGAATACTACTCAGCTGTAAGAAAAGTAGGAAATCTTACCTTTTGCAACAGCATGGATGGACCTGGAGAATATTATTCTAAGTGAAATAAGCCAGTCAGAGAAAGTCAAGTATCACATGATCTCATTAATATGTAGAAAATAATGAACAAAATAAGTTAACACACAAAATAGAAACAGACTCATTCATATATATATATATATATATATATATATATATAGAGAGAGAGAGAGAGAGAGAGAGAGAGAGAGAGAGAGAGAGAGAGAGAGAGAGAGAGAGAAGAGAACACTCATGGTTGTCAGAAGGGAGTGAGGTTAGAAATAGATGAAAGGGTGAAGGGATTAAGCAAAGAAAATAAACTCATTGACACAGGCAACAAAATTGTGATTACAATAGGGAAAAGGGATGGGAGTTTATAGAAGAAGGTAAAGGGGTCTAAATGGTGATGGAAGGATACTTGACTTGGGATGGTGAACACACATTACAATATACAGGTGATGCATTATAGAATTGTACATCTGAAACCTATATAATTTTAGTAATCAATATAACTTCAATAAATTTAATAAAATTTTTTAAAAATATATTTTTATTGATTTCAGAGAGGAAAGGAAAGGGAGAAAGAGATAGAAACATCAATGACGAGCGAGAATCATTGATCAGCTGCTTCCTGCACTCACTCCACGGGGATCAAGCCCACAACCTGGGCATGTACCCTGACTGGGAATTGAACCACTGAGACGTGCCATTCTCCATGTATATATTATTATTTTCATCTTCAAATTTCTCCTGGTTAGGGAAGCCATTGGCTATAAATCATCCTTAGATGACACCTATATTTGCAATGTCACTTATAAGCAGATTGCCATTCTTGAGCAAAATTTGATACATTTTCTGACTTCTTGAAATGATACCTGCTATTTGAATTATTTAGTTGGTGGAGACAAGGAGAGTATGCCAATCTTGCTATTATAGTGTGTAGCCATGGTAGAAGTAAAATTGAGTTCGGAAATTATAAGAAAAAAGAGCTTACATAGAATTGCATATGATGCACTAATATTAAAAGGGGACTTCACATAAAAGATCTAGTCAAGAATTGTTTCCATTTCCTATTTTTCCAGGATGATGTTCACATAATATTCTTATTATCAATTAACAAACTCACTGGAGGTAACAAAATTGCCCAATTAGCCAAAAGCATTTGCACCAAAGAATACATATTCAAAATAATCTACTCTAAGAAGGTACTATTTCCTGTCTAATTATTTGAACATTATGCTTGAAATATTGAATGATAACGCATTTCTGCCATGTGATTATGAGTAATTTAGCAAAAAAGAGGCCAAAAACACTTTTCAATTGTACATCTTCCTATTTTAAAGAATAACATGGAGAAAACATCTTACTTGATGAAGTAAACACTCTGCTCTAGAGAACTTCCTACACCATTTGTAGTTTCATAAAGTTTAATTCTACTTTCTTTCCATGACTTACTATATTAAATTTAGTGTCAGATATTTTTCATAATTAACTCCAAATTTTAGGGTTTATAGATTCAACTTGAGAAATATCTTTGATTGGGAATTTTTAACTCAATATATTTCAGTATGTTTATCTCAACTTAGCATGTATATGCTTTTATTACATTAAAATAACAAAGAATGCAAAAAAGAAATAATAGATAAATCCTTGTGAGCAGGCAGTGAGAGAATTTGTTTTGTAGAGGATATATGTTATGTAGATGATATAAAAATCTTAGAATTGTTTTCATTTCCAAGGTACTTGTATGAGGGTATGTAATTCCATTTTAGGTATTCCTGTCATTCACTCCTATTATTATACCCTATGCTTATTCTTACCATAGCACATGGCCTGGTATTTTGATACCAGTTCAAATATCCTCATTGGACCAATGCCTACCCAGGGTATGACTTTCTCATATTAAATAGCATGTGCACATTTGCTAACATTCCACTGGGTAAGTCATAAGACTAAGCCCACAGTTAATGTGGCAAGGAGGTATATACCACAGCAAGTAAAAGAAGAGAAGAATTCTATTTCTCATACAATATAGAAATGACTTAACTTCTTTGAGTTATTGCTAATTGTGGATACAGTTTATGTTTTATTAACCAATGTATTTTCCATGCACTGTTAAATTATTTCAGTAGGCAGTCAGCTTGTTTATTTTGGTTTTCTTTGGTGAATAAATACATCAAATGTTTGACTATAAAGCTACACTAATAAAATAGAAACATGCAAATTGACTGTCACTCCACTACACCCACCAGCCAATCAGGACTTAGTATGCAAATTAACCCAGCAAATATGGCAATGGCCACAAAGCTGGAGAAAACAGGAGGCTACTGATGAAGGGTCTGGGAGTCTGGGTCACCAGGGGGTATGACCAACCTGAAAATGGCCCTCAGCCCCTTACCCAAGCTGGCCAGGCACCCCAATAGGGACCCTCATCCTGAAGGGGGTGCGGCCAGCCTGAAATCATCCATCAGCCCCTAACCCAGGCTGACCAGGGACATCAGCGGGAACCCCCACCTTGAAGGTGGTGTGGCCAGTTTGAAAACAGCCCTCAGCCCCTCACCCAGGCTGGCCACTCCCCCCAGGGGGGACCCTCACCCCATGGGGACATGGCCTACCTGAAAACCACCACAGGTCTCTCATCCAAGCCACCCCACACAAGGGAACCACCACCCTGATCCAAGACATCCTTCAGAACAAACCAACCAGCTTCCACCCATGCACCAGGCCTCTATCTATACTAATAAAAGGGTAATATGCTAATTAGACTGGGAGAACTACCAGTAGACCTACTGGACATTCTTCTGGACAAAGCCATGGTGGCAGGGTCGAGGTAGAGGTGGTTAATGGTCAAGAGGGTATGGCAGTTGTGGGTGATGAGGCCAGGATGGGATGGCAGTTGTGGGAGGACCATTGGGGGTGATCAAACCAACAGGGAGTGCAGTTGGGGGTGAGCAGACCAGTAGGGGGCCAATTAGGGGTGAGCAGGTCATCAGTTGGGGGTCAGTTGGGGTGATAATAGAGCAGAGGGGAGTTTGGGATGAGCAGACCAACAGGGGGGCAGTTGGGGGCAAGCAGACCAGTGGGGAGGGAAGGTGGATGCAAGCAAGCCAACAGAGGGGGCAGTTGGGGGTGAGCAGGTTGGGAGGGGGGCAGTTGAGGGTGAGCAGGTTGGGAGGGGGGCAGTTGGGGGTGAGCAGGTTGGGAGGGTGGCAATTGGGGGCAAGCATGCTGGCACAGGGAGCAGTTGGGGTTGATCAGGGTGGCAGGAGGGCATTAGGGGATAAGCAGGCTGGCGGTGGGGGACAGTCGGGGGCAAGCAAGCCAGCAGGCAGAGTGTTTAGGGGCCATCAGGCAGGTGGCAGGTGAGCTGTTAGGAGCCAGCAGTCCCAGATTGTGAGAGGGATGTCTGATTGCAGGTTTAGGCCTGATCCCTGTAAACCAGCAGTAGGACATTCTTTGCGGGGTCCCACATTGGAGAGGGGGCAGGCCGGGCTGAGGGATAACCCCTCATGCACAAATTTCATCCACCGGGTCACTAGTATATATATTATATATACACATACTAGTGGCCCAGTACACAAAATTCATGCACATTAAAATAGAATTAATTAGAAGAAATATTTTAATATTGCTATTTTACCTTTCTCTATAATAGAAGTGTCAGAGATGAAGAGAAATGAATAAAATGTATATGAAAATAATATATGAATTTATTAATAAATGAACAATAAAAAAATAATGTAACAATAACAAAATGATATAACAACAAAGAATGATATAAAAACAACAAAACATGATATGAAAACAATAAGAACATGATATAAAAATAACATTGATGCAAACAATGATTGATAAAGTGATTAAATGTATTCTAATATATCCCTGCATACCACCATAAGAGTGAAAACACTTTCAGAGTGCTTGACTAATTTCCCTTGGGATGAAGTATTTGCAATTTTAATTGTAACGTCACATGCTCTTTGAGCTCGAGAGAAAGCACATATAACTGACCTTGTCAAAAAACAGATTCAGATAGGAATATTCCTACTCTATCTAGAGTTTGTCCTTATGATGTATTAATAGTCATTGCAAATGCTGACATCACGGGAAACTATCTTTAAATCAATTTATTATAAAAGGGATTTCAGTGTCAGATAGAGACAAATCCAGTATGGTGATAAACTTGTCCATGTATTCTAAGACTGTGTGGCCCATATCATGATGGTGATGCAATATTTGCACCCATGGAAGCAAAAGCAAAAGAACTATTTGTGAAACAAATATTTTCCATGAAATGTTTATTATCAGAATCTTCATTTGCTATTAATCTTTTTAAATATGCTGGGTATTCTGGAAAATGTATAATATATCATTTGGACAAACTTTACCTTTGCTACAACATTTATTAAATTTCCCATCAGATGTTTTTTTCATCAGAGAAATTTAGTGATAGGCAAAATTGACATCTAACAGTCATTCCACCACAACTATGTTTGAGAATTGCATCCTCATGTACTCCATTTTTGTGGAGAAGTTACTTGTTGATGACTGTCCTTTCAACATATTCTGACATCACCACCACCTTCTTTCAACTTCAGAGGCATGTTGGTCTTTAGACATTTTTTGTCGATGACGCTGTCTTCTTTCAGCTGCAGAGCTACATTGTGTTCATAGTTGCTCTTTAAACATATTTCCACCTCCCTGCTGTCAGAGATGGGCCAGCACCCACGAGGACAGGGGGTCAAGTCCACCTGAGTCAGGAGACCCAGAGTCAAATTCCTGCCAACTTAAGTGTGCCTCAAAATCTCACGAGATGCAGACCTGCCTGTGCCCATGCAGATGGACATAGCATCCAACCTCACAGAGCTGTGGGACAACCGTGGAGCTGCCCCTTTGGAGCACTGGGCTGAGGGAACTCCTGGGAAGTGGAGTGGAGCAGCAGGGAGGACCCTCCCCCCAGCAGGGCTGAGGGGACTCTTATGGCAGATGCGTGTTACAGGATCCCCACCTCTGCTGTGGGGGCCACCATCTTGTTATGGTGTGATGGTCAATTTGCATATTCCCTCTTTATTAGATAAGATATATGATTACTTTGTCAATTTCTATATGGTACTAAAATGACATTTTAGGAATGTAGTCCCTGGACCTAAACTGTCAGTGTTTTAATCCCAAGGCTTCCACTTATATGGGCAAGTTGCTAAGCCTTGAAGTACCTCAATTTTTTTTTTATTAATAAAAGGAACCTAAATGTAGCATTAACCTCATGGAGTGGTTATGAACATCGAGTTAATACATGAAAAGCACTTAGAACAGGTCTAACACATATCAAGTGGTATGACTATTGAGTATCTTCATTATTAGACATCTAATTAGCAAACATACATGTATCAATTCTAATTCTAATAACCTATGAGTTTTTATTATTTTCATGTTTTACATATTAAGTCACCAACTACTAAATTAAATATTTAGAAATTAACTAAAATTTATATTTTTCCAATACCAAGAAACTATTTCATGCAAACTACAATTTTCAGATCTATACTAAATAGATATTCAAGGGTGAGTTTTGAATAGTTGTAAGTGGGAGCTAAATAGGCTTTCAATATTTGTTTTCTACCTCAAAATTTAAAAATATTCTCAGAGAACTATTGGGTTCTTTGTCCTCCCCATCTGGGAGAAAGCTACCTCTGATTTCCTGCACCAATGCCAGTGATAATTATAATAAAGATACTATAATTTAAAAAATAATAAAAATACCTCAATGCTTTTGAAGTTTTAATGTATTTCATTTTAATGAATTTTTATATATACTATATTCATTAAATACATATATAGATTATCTTCTCTATTTAAGCAGTTTCTTTTTTCCTTAAATAATGCATATTTATTTCTCACAGTTCTAGAGGCTGGGAAGAACAAGATCAAGATTTTGGCAGATTCTCTGTCTGGAGAATGCTCACTTACTGATTCACAGATGGCCATCTTTTTTTAATATTTTTATTTTTTGCTATGTCTTCACATGATGGAAGGAAGAAGAGAGGTTTCTAGGACCTCTTTTTTAAAATATTATTTTTCAAGTACAGTTTACATTCAATATTATTTTGTATTAGTTTCAGGTGTCCAGCATAGAGATTAGATAATCATATACTTTACAAAGTGCCCCCCTCAATATTTCTGGTACTCAGCTAGCACCATATTACAAATATTACTGATTTTGTTATCCATGCTGTACTTTATATCCCTGTAACTATTTTGTAACCACCAATTTGTGGGCTATGTTTTACAAATTTCAAAATACTTGAAAATAGGTTCTAATTTTGACAATATGGTAATCATCAATAAATTAGCTTTTTGTGTGTGCATTGGACCTATTGTAGTGCTTATTTTTCAAGTAGTTATCAAGGAGTGTTATTTGTTAGTGGGAATGCCTATCGGAATTTCAGAATAAAATCTGCAGAGTGTGGGCTACTACTGAATGACTGAGATCTAAAATCTGTGGTGATGTTTTTTCTTATTCACCTTGTAAACAGATCACAATTTTTCCCTCTAAGATACCTGAGCTCTTTCTTTAAAAAAAATATTGAGTATTACAGATGTCACTTTTTTTCCTCTCATTTGCCCCCCTCCTTTTGGTTCCCCAGGCCTTTACCACCCTATTGTCTGTGTACATATATGCATATAAGATTTTTGGTTACAAATGGTAAGATTTCCTTCTTTTTATAGCAGCATAGTATTCCATTGTGTAGATGTACCATAGTTTTCTAATCCACTCATCTGCTGATGGCATTTAGGCTGTTTCTAAATCTTAGCTATTGTAAATCATGCTGCTATGAACATAGGGGTGCAAATATCCTTTCTGATTTGTGTGTTTTCTTGGGATATATTTGTAGAAGTGGAATTACTGGGTCAAATGGCAGTTCTATTTTTAATTTTTTGAGGAAATGCCATACTGTTGGAACTGGAGAGCATTATGTTAAGTGAAATAATCCAGTCAGTGAAAGAAAATTACAATATGATCTCACTCATTTATGGATAATAGGAAACTATAAACTGATGAACAAAAATAGATACAGAGGCAGAGAAGCATCAAACAGACTGTCAAACTACAGTGGGAAGGCTGCGGAAGGTTGGTGGGGGAGGTAAGAGATCAACCGAAGGACTTGCATGCATGCATACAAGCATAGCCAATGGGCACAAGACACTGGGATGGGGGTGAGGGCATGTGCTGGGGCGCGGGAGGGTAGGGGAGGCTGGGGAAGGTCAAATAAAAAAATGAGACATGTGTACTACTATTTGTAATATTTTAAACAATAAAAAAAGATTTTTGGTTAATCTCTTCCTGCTTCCCTTCCCATTTCGTCAGATTCATCAGTCAGTTCCATGTTTCCATGCCTCTGATTGTATTTTATTCATCAGTTTATTTTGTACATTAGATTTCTTGTTCATTTATTTTGATTTTTGGATTCAATTGTTGATAGATATATCTTTTTTGCCATTTTCTCCTCCTCCTCCTCTTTTCTTCTTCTTCTTCTTCTTCTTCTTCTTCTTCTTCTTCTTCTTCTTCTTCTTCTTCTTCTTCTTCTCCTCCCCCTCCTCCTCCTCCTCCCCCTCCACCCCCCCCTCCTCCTCCTCCTCCTCCTCCTTCTCCTCCTCCTCCTCCTCCTCCTCCTCCTCCTCCTCCTCCTCCTCCTCCTCTTCTTCTTCTTCTTCTTCTTCTTCTTCTTCTTCTTCTTCTTCTTCTTCTTCTTCTTCTTCTCTTACTGCTTTTAAACATTTGGCATTTTAATTATGATCTTGGTGTGCGCCTCTTTGGGTTCATCTTGTTTGGGACTTTCTGTGCTTTCTGGGTTTGTATGTGTATTTCTTTCACCAGGAAATGAGAGTGTCTGTCATT